TGATATTTTTATAAGATGCATTAATACCTTTTTAACCACATCATATAACAGTTCAGTTTTGCTTTACCCCAGCTTCCTCAAATCCATGGATGGAAAGAGGAAGGTGTGAATTTATGAACACCAAGAGTGAGAGAAACGATTACTCAGACAAGAAGTCTGCCTCGGTGGGCTTGATTCAGAAGATAAAACATACTACAAAAAACGTGTACCTGGCTATAAAAAAAAAAAAAAAAAAAAAAAATTTAGGTAAGCCAATAATATCTGAAATTGTAACTTTTTTTTTTGGGGGGGGGGCTTCTAGTTGGCAAGATCCTCTGTTCAATACTGAAACAATTCAAGTGAACAACCGAACAGTGCCTATGGGGCCTTTTCCAAGACAAGGGGCAGCAATAAGTTCTCACTTTAGAGTAATGTCACCTGCACTCAAGTCCTAAACTGCAAGGACGAAGTGAGGGCAGGGCTCCTCTGTACCAGGCTGGGTCACATTTTCATTCACTGTGCAAGCTCAGAAGTTAGTTTCACTTTTCCCTACATACATCAACTAGCTTAGCTGGGATATTATTTTTCTTTGGTTTGGTCAGAAGCATGTTTGATATAAATTTTATTAAGTGGTAGTGTATGGAACATTGCATTGTGGGAAAGTCGTTTCCTGCTTTAGTCTGGCCACATCCTCAGCTGTCATATGAGCATGTTTCTCACATTTTGTGCAAGTTGTTGGCTTTTTTTTTTTTAATTCTTCCAAAAATGACAGCATTCAAAGATGAATTGCTTTAATAATTACAAGAAAGATAAAATACTTTATACAGGTACACTACTGAACTGTAGATCATCACAGTTCTAATCCCAGGAAAAAGGAACCTTACAATCAAAGTGCTAACGACATGCAAATAGTATGCTGAAGTAAATCAGTATGTAGGAAAGAGTCAAGGAGCACATTAAAAGAAATAAAAAAATTCCCAGAAACAAATGCCAGTACTTCCCAACAGCTGAGGTGTACACAGCGGTGTACAAAGGCGGCTGTGTTTCAGATATACCATTAGTAAGGACCAATATGTCAATATTTCTTAATAAAAATTAAAGAAATTTCGGAATTTATAGAAATGTCAAAGAATGGGAAAAGAAATCAAAAGAACCCTGGAGTTGGAGTGGAGATAAAAAGCAGAAGGACAGAAATTAAGGGAGAGGAAGGGAAGGAGGGAAGGAGGAAAGAGGAGGGAAGATGTGGACAATGAGTTAAGAGGTTCTCTTTGGGCATCCAATCTGCATGTTATGTCACACTCAGAAAGATAGCTGCTTGGAATATACACATGAATCAGTAAACAAGAAAATTGTGGCATTGGGTTTCTTTTTAATATTATCTAATTTAAAAGCTCGTAGCAGTTCAAAATAATAATCTGTACTCCCAACCAAACATGCATTCCTGTTTTTTGTATATAAAGATGTAAGAATTAACATGCCATAATCATAATTTAAAATATAAAACTATGACGTTTTTCCAGGACAGACCAATTTTAAGTCTTTAATAAGAGTCCGGTAAATGCTAGATAAGCTTAAAGAGCTATGTATCAAGTCTGAAAAAAGAAAACCTGCTCCCCAAAAGAAAACATAAATTACCAAATATCAAGTTAAAATAAATTAATAAAGCTCCTAGTCCAGTCTCAATCAGAATATTTAAGCCAGGATGAACATTTAGAGTTTTTCGCCATTTGCTTACTGTTTTCAATTAAAAGAAGAGAAAAACAGCAAATATAAATCTAAAATAATCCTTTTTTAAAAAACATAGATGTTGGCACAGTATTTGTAAAACTATTGTATTAAAATTCAAGCAGAATTTTAGCAAATAATTGATTCAAATGATAACATTGAAGAAATGTATAGTATTTAAAACATTACTATACTGTTATGTTCAAATGTCTTGATATTTTAAAAATTGACAATTTTTTTAAAAATTACTAAACTGTAAAGGAATAAAGCAAGACACTAACTTGATTTATACGTACTGATTTCAAATTTAAAGCTGTATTTCAATGCTGTAGCATTAAAACACAGACCTGAATTTATTGCTCACTTCACAGCAATTGCTAGCACATCCTCCAACAGATTGCATTTAAAGATCTTTTAAAAGAGAGAGCCTGTGATCTCCATCTCTGGATGCAAACATGGTAAACATCTTTACACAGGCTCTCTTGCCATGGCTTTACTAAGCTGGCTCTCCATCACAAGGAGCCATTTCTAATGAAATGCCTTCAGAATTGTTACCACTCACCAATGCTGTTTTTGAATTTCTACAACAATGTTATGCTTGCTCTTGAGAGAGGATAATTTGAACTGGGAGAGGGATAGGGGGACAATGAGTATACAGATTTAAACCACAATTGTAACTTCCCTGTTTTTATCCTGTCAGAACTTGATGGGCCTCATACAGTACAGAAAGACCATGTTCAGCAGTGTCTACTAGACTTGTGTGATGAGAGCTTGACGCACACACACAAGCAGTAAGGTTAAGACAGATCACGTAACTGGAAGACAGATAAGATGGCGGTAAAATTATTCAAATTAATTCAGATCAATTTGAATAACTTTAGAAAAGTGTTTTAAGGAAAAAAATATTTTGTGAAAAATTAGGGCTTAAAAGTCCTGAACACTCTAAAAGAAAAGCTTTTGCTTTACATACATAGTTGTTCTCTCTCTCTTTCTCTGTGTGTGTGTGTGTGTCTGTCTTGTCTTTCTACATATGTGTGTGTGTACATATATATATAGTTGTTTTTATAGCTGTCTTACATATATATGTATGTATGTATATATGTATGTATATGTATGTATATATAGTTGTTCTATCCTAGAGCAACTACCCAAATATCTTCAATTGCCAAGTGCTATTATAACATGTACATATGGAACTAAGTTCAGAAACTCTACAAATTGTATGGACAAAACCCTCCTTTTATTTACTTTGGATAATAGAGATAAAGATCACACTGGCACACTTCATTTATGAGAGAGGATAATAGAGTTACTTCTTTCTCTTCTGCATGAATAATGACTCTAAATGAAAACTTCAATGTAAGATCTGTTTTACAGTAAAGTATGAGGCTAGCCTCAAAGTCAAACAACAGAATGTATTTCTGTGGTTTTGTCATTAATAGTTGATTCTGGATAAAAGTTCTAGACATTTGAAAAACAAGGGGTTAAAAACATTCCCATGTTTTTTCAGTATGCGCAGAAAAACATTTTAAAGAATCTTAGGAACACAATCTCATAGATAACCAACACAAACCAAAGATAGATAATGAGCTATGTTGGAATGAACAGACACAAAGATATTTTACTTCTATCACCATGAGTCGCTCCCTCTTGTCCACATTGAACACCCCAAATAAATTTCTGTGCTTCCCTGTCCCCACCCACCATCTCAGTCATCTATTTCATGCCACTCCTGGTTACCATCACACTGGGAAGAAATCTAACATGCAAATTCAGAGTGGCGTGGATAAATGGCAAAAAATGCCTAGGAAATTGGTCTGCTCGCCTTTATAATGTTTGTTGAAAAATCCTCCATCGCTCCCAACTGATGAAAACAGGAAGCTCTATTCATAAATGTGAAATTCACTGCCTATGATATATAATCATCCTAATAAGAAAATGAGCTCTATACATACATGTCCAAGAGGGCAAAAGAAGAGATAGTTTCCCAAAGATGGTTTCAATTTTCTTCTGAATCAGAATTAGCAAATCGAGACGACTAACATACTCTGTCTGTGCATTATTCCTTACTACACACAGCATTTTGTAATTTATTTCAAAGCTTCCATTATAAACAACAAAAAAAAAGTACAGTTTCTGTTAACCCACTCTATTCTGAGCTTGTAAAATGCAAGTGAGCTATGGAAGCTCCTGAGTCTTTCATTATATATGCAGAAAATATGCAATCCAAAATCCTGTTAGAGTCACTGTGCATGCTAAGAGTTATACAAAACACACTTATGTGAAAGACAAAATCCAGTCACACCGAAAACTAACATTATTCCAACAAAGTATCCTGCAATTCTTAACATTTGCTTTCTAAGACCTTCAAAGAGCCATGAGATAGATGATGGTAAAAATAATATAAATAATACTAATTAATTTAATCTTTATGGTAAGAGCCACCACCTAATAAAAAAATCAACTAGACAGCCATGATTTAATATTTGTAAAGGAATCCCCAGGCTAACACTTTTGTGACAGCCAAATTACAGTCAATCCCAGCAAGGAGTTCGCAAGCAGAGCTTTGGAAAGGTAAACTTTTTTTTACAATGAGTTACAGAGTCACAAGTTTAGGAAGACAAGCAAAAGGCAAACAGAAGGAGTCAGCCACCCTGGTAAGGCTGAAGCAGCTCTGCAAGTGATACAATCCCAAGATGTAAATTACTGTAAATCAGCACTGTTGTTCAGAACGTCCCATGCTGGCTACAGCCAATCTCGCTCACTTTTCCATAGACATAATAATGAAGGAAAAGGAGGAGGGGGTAGAGAAAGCAGAAGAAGAAAGCAGAGGGAAGGCGGGAGTGGGAGGTGGGAGAAAGGAAACCCTTAGCTGCAGAGCTCTGCTCTCCAAGTGCTTAACCTTACAGGAGTGTGGGCTCCTTCAGCATTTGTGTTCTATCCAAATCCTCATGAGTCACAAAAATTAAAAAGCTATATCCTTCTGGATGCCAGGAAGGCCTTACCACAAGCCTTTTGTCAGACAGAGAGAGGGGGAAGGAGGCAGGGGGAGGGAGGGAGGGAGGAAGGGAGGGTGGAGAAGGGGAGAAAGAGAGAACCCATGAGCAAAAGGACAGAAAGGAAGGCAGAGGAGGAGAGAAGAGAAAGGAGGGAGGGGAGAAGGAGAAAGACCGAGAAAGGAGGGGGAGAGAGCAAGGGGAAGCCACAGTGGTAGGCAGTCCCACTTCACTTAGAGCACTGTGAGGTCACAAACCACATGATTCTGTCTCTCCAGTAATAGTGCTTGCAAAAACTAGGAGTTTTAAAGCTTTTGCTTTTTTGGATTGTGTGAATGCTTCATTCGCCTCACAAACAACCACAGAACCACAAGTGCGGTGCAAACTTTCTCCAGGAGGACAGCAAGAAGTCTCTGGTTTTTAAATGGTTAATCTCCGCAGGTCACTACCAGCCACCGAGACCAACCGAGTCAGTGAGTGCCCTAACCACAGTCTGTGCAGTAATAGTAGGTCCTTCAAATATCTGCTCATTCTTTTCTGTTTTGTTTCCTTGCTTTTCACATGTTACCAGCTACATAATTTCTTGACAGAAAAAAATAAATATAAAGTCTATGTACTCCGGGCATACAGTACAACTAAAACAAGGACTGGGTATGGTTTGTGTTTTCAGTCTAAGGCTGCAAGCGGTATTTACAACAGAGGGCACAAGCTCTATCTGGAAGAGAAAGGAGGGACTATGGCATCAAACAGCCTCTTCAGCACAGTGACAGCATGCCAGCAGAACTTCTTCTGGGGTAAGTGTCACCATGTTTTCATCCTGCTCCCTATGAACCTGCTGAGCATAAAGGGCCGTCTTAGACCGGCTGCTGGCTTTCCTAGGTCAGAGCATGTTAAAGATCATGATGATGCTATTTTGTTGCACTAGAAATTGAAAAATGAAATGTCTGTAAATATTTGCACTTGGCGTGTGTAACTAACTCTCAGGGTAATGGCTTGAAATTGACAAAATTAAATGAGCTCGTGTTGATCAAAATGTTTTCCAGTGTAACAGAAACAAGGATGTTAAAAACAGTAAAAGCTTAATATTCTCATGAACCTCACTAGAATAAACTGGATGCTGAATTAATCAAAGTATTGTTAAGTCATTGACTCGGCAGCTCCCAATATTGGAACAAATTTCAAAAAGGAAGCAATTTTACAAAATAGCAGACCACAGAATTATCGAAACATTATGGTCTAGTGTGTATGACACAGAAATAACCCTGGAGGAAAGCTAGCAGTTTAAGCAGCTCCACTGAAAGAATTCTCTTTTCCACCTGAAACTGTGTCCTAGGTTATCTCTATAAGCTTGTTCCTAAACAGTATTCTGTGACTGAAGCAGACATGCATCAGGGAGGCTCTGAAGAGATGCCTAGTGCTCATGACACTGGATGTTTAAGTCTTTCACTTGACATGAAACTGTAATTTTCTAAATAAATTTAATTTTGTATCTACACTCCATTACTCCCACATAACTCCTTACAAACATGCAGCAAACCCTGAGACCTCTAGGATTCCTCGGAGAACATTCTTAGACCACCAAAACGAATTCTGTTTTCAGTCTCATGAAAAATAAACTCCACAAGGATACCCTGAAGGATTTAAAAGAGCCATGCCGACGAAATCACGCCGGTCTAGGACTATTAAAACAAAACAAACTTAATGCAGTCTGGTAATACTGAGTTTTCAGTGAGTGCTGACACAGATATTTAAAGGACTTCAATCCTGATCAACTGTCATGAGATAGTAGAAAATGTCCACTTACATGATTCTCTTTGTGATATCCAACATGTCCCAACTACACAGCAGATTTTAAAGACTGTCTTTTAGCCTCTAAAGAAACGCTTTGCTTGTGTGTACTTAGCTGTAGAATTTTCAAACTAGGGATTGGAGTTCCCATTACTCCTCCTCCTTCACACATCTTAACTGGCTCCTCTGAGAGGATCTGTCCTAAGTCAAACAGAAATAGTTAAGCCTGAAGAAGGGGAAGAGGGTCCTCTTAAAGGGTAAAGAAATGTACTTCATGATTTTATTTTTAAAATATGTGAAATTTCTGTAATGACTCCCACAGTAGCCAAATTAGGTCACCTCAGTTAGTTACAATGTATTCAATGTAATAAACATAGATTATTTTATAATTTCAAGAGTGGTCATAAGCATTACTTTAAAATGTTCTGGCTTAGGAAGCAGAAAGTAATGACAACTAGATTGCACTATACCCCAGTATAACCTATATTTTAAGTACAGTTCTCACAGGAGAAGATTTGTTAGGAGTAACTAAGAGACAAAAAACTTAAAAACTGTGTTAAAGCTATTGTGACGTGACGGGATCACTCAGGCAGGCACAGCAAGCAGTTAAGGAACATGCGGCACTGGAGGCAGAACTGTCACAAAGAACATGTTGAAATGTCCTTCTATCCTACAGAGGTGGGTGTGGGTCTTGAGGTTGTGACACTCTTAATGACTATTCTATATTCAATTTTCCAAGACCTGACCAGGGTCATCTTCTACAACACACAGTACTTTCCACACTATAGCCAGTCTTTCTCTTGGGGAAGGTGAGTCTCCCATTCTCTACCTCCCCTCCTCCAAAGCGTACCTTAGGAAAGGCTGGAGACCCTGCTGTGATCTAGTACACCAGACTAATTACAGGGGAGGAGTGGATAGTCCTCCAGGTGATGATCACATCACATCTCCCTGTTCCGTGATGTATGTGAAGGCTAAAACCTCTCTTCAAGGTGAAATTCTATAGCGCTCAGCACAACCACCTAGCGCAATGTCCTAAGTACATGTGCCAATTTTGTAAAATGCTTAAAGAAAGTTTAGGTAAGGGACAAGGTATGCACTTGCTGATTATCTCACCTCTGCCATTATGAGTGAGGGGAGGAGTTCAAGGGAACAGCAGACAGATGAGAGAGCCCCAGTGGCCTTGATCTCTGCACACTTTAATCAGGGTTTTCAATCTGAGCTATTCAAAGTCATTACTTAATGTGAACAAACCCTGTTGAAACAGCAGATTGACTCAACAAGTACCTCACCATTAGGGACTCGTTTGTGAAATCATGTAAGCTGGCTGATTCCATTCCTACACAGATTTCTTACAACAGACCGAAGTCACCGATTAAGCATGATATCTAAACAGTCATTTCCAAAACAATAGTTGTGGTCTACATAACAATAACCATCTTGTAGTTTCAAGATTCCCTAGGGACCAAGTTTTTCTATTTGTTTCCCAAGTAATAGAGATAAATTCAACAATCCAAAGAGAAGAACTAAAAAGAATGAACATGGACGGTCACTCTAATGTTTATTAGAAGCTAAATCTGCCAAGTAAGAGACTACCATGCATTCTAATAAATTACTCTATTTTATAAGATTAACACAGATTTCACTTTTAAATCATAAAGGTATTTTCAAATGGAATTACAGAAAAAGATCCGTAAAGTCTGAATGTGCTTCCTGGGAGTTTCTAAATCACTAGAAAGGCATGAAATATACACAATTACATTATAATACATTTTAATTATTTTAATAAAACAAAAATAATTTATTCAATTACACCCTTCAAGCTAATAATCACTGATGGTTAGACTTGTTCAGTAAGTCATCTAAGTCGAACCGTAAGGTAAAAATGTTCCAGCTCATTAGGAGAAGACTGAATATTGAAATACACGATGGTTTAAGCAAACTGGGGGGTGTGGGGGCTGACTCATGGAGGGGACTAAGATGTTATCAAGGACACAGAATTAATCTTTATTGAATAGAACCATTCACAAATCAAATCCCACTGTACTTCAATACTTTCAAGCAGCGCTAATCAATTACAAACCTTCTCTGGCGCTTCAGAACTCATGTGCTTTCAATTTTACACACTGGTGGTCCTCAAGTACTGTACCGGCTAAGTTAAGACATTCTGTATCACAACTTTTTTTTCAAAAATATTCATCTAGAGGGCTTTCTCCCCACCTCTCAAGAGCTGCTTGCATGAAAACTGTGGTAATATTTTTATACTGTGCTTCCTTGTTAAAGCAAAAGGTTAGGGGTTACCCAAATACCTCAACTGTATATATATTAAAAGAGAAAAGGTAAGTATTCATATCAAAATTCCAATGGGACTGGATTCTTTATTTCTGCATTTCCGATGATTAATGAAGCCCCCACGCACACTTGGAAACTGACAGCAGAACAAAGGGACATCTCAACGTCCTCTCCACACTACATGCACACCAACTTCCGTGCTGTTTCAGACTTGTGCCAGGATGCTCGTATGTGACAAGTCTAGGGCAACAGGAGAGCTATGCATGTCCATCTTAGCATGGAGACTGCAAATGCTACCAACCAAGTCTTTAAAGACCTGTTTATAGAAACGGCATCGAAACGGTAAACCTCTGCAGTCTTTCCAAAAATATTACATATGTGGCCAAATAAATGCCATCAATCCGAGGTGAAAGAAATCCTAAGGCAGAAGCTAAAACCATGATTGTGACAATGCGTGACTATTTTTCATAGTTGACCAGACCGGTCCTTAAATGGGTACTGGCCAACCCAATGCTAGTTTAGGCAGAGGCTTCCTAACAGGCTCCCTTAATGGATTATTTTTGCTTGTCCTATACCAATTAACCAAAGTTGTATAACTCCAGTGAAAGATTTAAAATGGTCCAAAGCAAAACTGGCACTAAGCTCCTATATTAAAGATAACAGTAAGCTCAAATACTTGATTTTCTAAATATTTTCTAAACAGTAAAATATTGTGATTATCTCAAGTGTATAAAATGTTTAGTGATTTAACATGGATCCTTTTAATAAAGTTTTATACACAAGATATACACCTTAACATAACCTCTTATTTCAAAAGGGCAATGGTATGTACTGAATATGAATTCTGATTAATGTATTACAATTCAAATAAAATGGGGAAACTCAATACCTTATTCAAAGGGAGTTTCCTTACAATTTTAACCACAGTTAACCACAAGCTTTTGTCCATTCAACAGAAAACACAAATAAAACAGACCATATAATTTTTTAAGACTCCTATAGCAACCTAGATGAAATGTTCCTTTATTATGCTGTTTACTGTATCTTCAGCTTACACAGAATTCTTAGGAATTTCCTCCCCATACACTACTATTAAGGTCATGGGATTCAAAGCTTGCAACACTGTTGAATGGATGTAAGAAACACCCTATAAAACATTTCAAGCTCATGCTATTATTAAACAGGAGTTAATTCTGGAACCTATTTTTTCATAAGCATATTTTCCTTCCCCTAAGAAACAGAAACTGTAGTCCTTATTTTAATGTCCCCAATGAGATGAACTATAGAATTCAGTTTAAAGGCTACTTGCTATGAAAGTACTTAATATTTCTACAGAAAGGAAAATGTGTTAAATATGTTATTCATTCTCTTCCTATAAATATTCTAAAGGTTATAAATACTCAAAAATCCAACATATAGGGGCTATGCGTGGAGCTCAGTAAGGGAATATTTGCTCCACAAGCACGGTGACCACAGTTCAATCCTCAGCAACACAAATTTAAAATGATAATAACTTTTAAATCGAATATACATTCAAGGAACAAAAATCATACAGTGTAACGATTTCTGCTACAAATAAACAACGATAAGTGTTAATTTAACATGTTTAAGATTAAGTCTATTGCTTAAAAGAAAAAAAACTATTGACATAAAGACATAACACATGTTTTGTAATGTTGAAGGGTGTTAAAAATTATTGCATTAATTTTAGAAAATT